TGCAGTTGGACTTGCTTTCCACTGCTGAAAGGGTAACGCTATTAGTGAAATCAGTAGTAAGCGTAGCATGCTGCTCCTTTAAAAATCAAAATCTAAGGGTATATTTGTTGTTCACAATTTACAGCATTGTCTACCTTTGGACCCACCAATTTCACATCTTTTTCTGTTTTCATACGCAACAATATTGATGTTCTGAACCTTTATACCAGACAGCACTTGTGAGTTTTTTTGCGGAGGGCTTCTGCCCTTTACCACATGGCAGGCTGAATGACGATGGGTCCTCCCAGTGCCTGTGGCTCTGTACAGCTAGACCAAACCTGTAATTCTGCAGTCAGCTGGACTGGCTCCAGCAGAGCTGTGGTGTTCCATTTGTGTAATTAATACAGCTCCTAAAAGATGACTGAATATCTAAATGGTAGACCATTAATGACTCCAGGGAGCTCTCGCGGTTCATCCTTATAAGCAACTCTTTAGGTTCCGAAATAAATGCATGGTGAAGCCTTTCTTGTCACCACAGGGTGACCTTCTCATAAAAGGCTCTTCTCTGTCACAGTTGTGATCTCACTTTCTGTCAAATGTTCATATTTTAGTCTAACCCTATAAAACTAGAAAATTAAATGCTTTTTGGCACAGACACGTTTAGTGCACTGTCATCTTTCAGCAGCGTCTGCTTCTGCAAATAGCAGTGATTGATTTTTGTCTTCAGCTGCCTTTTATCAAAATCTTAAAGATATAGCGGTGTGACTCTTGTGTTGAATTAATAGCAGATCATTTTTGGAAAGATGACACTGCTGTTAAGTGCCAAGATTGACGAAAAGAATCCAGTCATGCTGGGATGATAATTTATTTGGTGTAATGTCTGTCTGTCTCCAGGAGGGTTTCTGTCAGTCTTGCTGCATACACACCCCTAGTAGATCATAGCAGCAACTAAAATTTCAGACATCTTAGATCTGTATTCTGGCTATTTTTCGTTTTATATTATCTTTTTTTTTTCCATTTTTCGTTTGTCAGTTAGCAATCTCAATTTTTAGCAGTTTAAACAAAAACCAAATCAATGCTAAATAAAGATGCAGTGTTACATGTTGATGTGTAGAAATGTCCTAAAATTGATGACTAAATGTTGCATGTGTTTGAAAGGCCCGAGGTGACTGCAAGGTTAGAGGTGTCTGACAGTGGGTGTGAAGGGCATGAGTCGCAGACGAGCTTGGCTTGGCAGGGAGGACCTCTGGGAGTCATCAGTCTGGTTCCCTGTGCAATGGCTGGGACCAAGTGCAATGTCAGATCCGGTTGCTCAGGGCCTTGCACAATCGTTCCAGCCCTGCTCCGTTGCACAACCATCCTTGTTGTGAAAACTTTCTTCCTTATGTTCAGCAGAGTTGCTCCCTTGCTGCAGTTCAGACTCTTCCTCGCATCCTTTCACGAGGGAGAGTGGGGCTATGATGGCCTGCTGGAGTGGGAGACCGCAGCTAGAGCCTCTCCTGCCCTTCCCAGGCTGAACAAACCCCCTTCCCTCCCACCCTCTCAGCATGGCAGAGACCCCTTCGGTGTCCTGGCAGCCTTGTGCTGCAGCCCCCCAGCTTTTTGGTCACTTGTACTGCTGGGGCTGAAAATCTAGTTGTACTCTTCGGGATTATAAACTACCCCCACCACTTCATGTGCTTTCTTTGTTGCTTTCATTTCTGCATGAAAACAGAAGTTTTATTAAATAAAGCTTGGCTTTGGATGTGCCTTTCAATAATTCAGTGATGCTACAATAGGTTCTTGTTCAGTAGATGTAACTAGTCGTTTACAGATATTGCAGTTCTTAGTAAAATACAAGATGTGGGGAAATGAGCATGATTATTTTAAGTGACACTCTGAATTAAGCTCTGGTATGAGCTAACAGTCTTTAAAAAAAAAAAAAAAATAGAAAAGAACTGAATAAGCCAGTGTCACTGGAGTGAAACACTTGGTTTCAAAGTCTCCTGTGCTGCAAACAATTGTTTTCAAAACATAGAGCACAAGCTTGATTTAGATTTTTTTTTTTTTTTTTTTTTTTTTTTTTTTGTTCCCTTAGGAAGCCTGAATTACTGAGACCTACGCTGGCTACTAGTAAGCTGTGTATAGATTAGCCTAGGTAGTTCTGAATTCTATTTCTACAAAATTTGTTGGTGTTAAACATGATGGGGCATAACAACTTACCTCCTGCTTCAAACAGGCTGTACTGCAGCAGAATACAAGGGGTGTATTTACTTCATTCTAAATAAATGTTTTATCACTTAGCTGTAATTGGATTGCTATTGTATTTCAGTAATTATTCCCAACAGCAAATCTGTTTTCTACTTTGCAGACGTGTCTCTTCCCTGACTGACCTTCACGCAGCCTGTCTGAAGGTGTCTTTCTTGATCTAATTCTGTATGATGAGTTTTTTGGTTTTGTTTTTAAAAGAGGGGGAACTACTGCCAGAGTTAGAATAATTTGTCTTTGCTCTAGTTGTCATGGTGCAAAAGTATGAGCACTTCAGTTCATGTTGAGCTTTTAGCTGACCCTGGAGAGGCAGTACAATGCAGTGCTTTTTCAAAATGCATGACATTTCAGGCTGTGTAGAACCACACTTCTCTCAGTATCACAACCCAAATATTCTGCCAAGTTTCTCATACTTTGTGGAAATTTGTTCTGTATTTAAACATGTCTGTAGACAAATAACTTCCTAAAGTATCTCATAGCTGACCAAGGAATTCATACACTTGTCTGATGATCAGACAGTGTCTACCAGGGAAGTTCTGGATCACTGGATGGCAATTTTATGTGCAAGAATAATATTTGGTGATTAAATCTTAATGGGTTTCCAGAGTAGCTAATATTGTTTCAAGAGGAAAGCACTGCTGAATGTCCTTAGTGAGGACTGTCTTGTGACAGCCTGCCTTCTGGACAAACTTGTGGAAGAGTCAGTGTTACGCAGGCCCCGCAAACCCATCAAAGGACGGCTCCACCCATGTGCTTGTCTGAAGCTCTGAACTTCTGGTTGATTGCCTGCATGACAGATTATTTCAAATGTATGGCATTCAACAGTGAACTTACTTCCACAGTCCAGAATTAGGCTATTCTGATGCCATTTTCTGTTAACTCTAGTTCTAATCCTGCTTTCTGAAAAGGATGGTTTCTGCATTGCCTAAAACATATGTTTCAAGTATGAGTAACCTACTTCAGTGCCTAGAGAACCATATTTTATCAGAACAAAAACATTTTACTAGGTATTGTTACAGTGCTTACTTCCATTATGCTCACAGGTCTTTGTGAAGCATTTTATCATGGTGAGCAGTACAATGGCATTAAGCTGCGAATAGTCTTTAGCTGTGTTTGCAGCTGTCACGGTCTTGTGGTGCAGCCCTGTTGAAGCATGTTTGCTGTGCAAGCCTGCCTCTTCATTTAGATTGCAACTCTTTACAAGTTATTAGCTGCACTGTAACTCAGAGGACAGGCCAGTTTTAACTGTGAGTAGTCCAGGCAGCATCTGATGCTGTACTAGTTCCGCTAGTAAAGAAATCTTCCTTTGGAGATACTGAAAGTCTTTTGATCTTGACTTGCTGTGAAGATAAATTTTGTGTTTTCTTCCTGTATTGGCTTTTATGCTGTCTGTGCTAGGAATCAGTATTTTCATCCTTTCACTTTTCATCACTTCCTTCCCTATTGCGTTGTCATCACCCTACAGCTGAAGCTGCCTTCTGTTCATGGACCCCACCTCCTCTCTCTCCAAACAGCACTGGGGATCTGCTTTGATCTGGGAACTTGTGACCCTGCGTTTCTTCCTTCAGTGATGGAAACCTGTTTGCTGAATGGATTGCTAGATTTATTTGCATGTAATGGTACTTAAATCACATGAGCAGGGGTTCGGATGGTGTGATGGTTAAAGGAAGAAGGGATACATTAGTGCTCGTATCCCTAATGCCACCAGCTATGCAACGTATCTGGGCACCCTGTGACAATGTAGTTTTACTAGCTCGTTGCTCTTAATGGATCAGCAGCATTCCTCCTTTTCATTTAACTTTTGGTTGTTCTAAAGAATAACTTAGACAAATGAGAATAATGTAAACCTAGTTGTGCTAAAGCTTTGTGTTCTTGGCTATATCCTTTCTTCTATCAGTATGTGTGGATTTTTTGTTATCAAGAATGATGCTTGGGAGGCTTATGAGACCTGCTCTTACAAATCAAAGTATTCATATTTAGGGGGTTATTTTGACCCCTCTGTCTCTCTTTGTACCCTTGCCCATTTCTTATTACCCCAAGTTTCTTAAATGCAGTCTAGAATTGAATGGTTAATCTATATATCTGGCTTATTCAAGTAATCCACTAAGAAAGTGTGTTCAGAGGAATTAACTTACAAAAAGAAAACTAGGACAGTAAACTTGACAACTTACTAACTGACTGTTTATGAAAAGAAAAAAAAGCTTTGCAAACTGGTTAATCCTTTCTGCCCAAGAAATTTAGAACTTGACTACTTCTACCCAAGTTATGTGATATTTGTATGGTAGCTGTGGTCTTTGAAAGCCTTGCTTTTTGTACTGTTCCATTCATAATATAAAAATGAGTTTCTGCTTGTAAAACAACACTATTTAGTTTTGAAACTTTGTGTATTTTGCAGTGCATGCAACCTCACTGGGATGAAAAAAGAATCCAACCTCTCTAGTTGGTAGCAGTTTAGTTCTAGCATTCAGCGCATGAAGCTTGGTTACCTGGTAGTGTGTTTTGATGGATTGGATTGCAGGTCTAGAGGCCAAGGCCTCCAGCATTGTAATCACTTGTGTGGTGGGCTTTAAGCATCCCTTCTCCGGTTTTCTCACTGTACAGCCAGTTTTATGATTGAAAAGCTGCTGAAAAACCAGTACTTTAGCAAGTACTTTAGCAGTACTACGTGATTTAGTGTGTGCTAAAAAAATAAAATCACTTTTGGGCATGATGTAAGGCTGTATAACTGAAAATATATTTTTCAAAACTGTTTTTTTTATTTTTAATATTTCCAGGGAGGGATGAAACGATGCAGCCAGCCAAACCGTCATTCCTTGAATATTTTGAGCAGAAGGAGAAGGAGAATCAAATCAATAGCTTTGGGAAGAATGTGTCTGGCCAGACAAAAAATTCATCTGATTGGAAAGTACCACAGGATGGAGACTACGAATTTGTAAGTCTATACTTTGAAATTCAATCGTTGTGACAATCTGTAAGATTTTGTCAGAGCTGCTATAAGATTATTTCTTGTTTTGACAGACTAATGGAAACTTGAGGAGATTCTAATTGCTAATGCATTTGGATGGGGCATTTTGAAAAACTCATTTTCTTTAGGTATTTCTCAGTAATCATAACCAGTCATTATCTGTATAGTTTCCTTGTTTAAAAGCAAACAAACAAACAAAAAAGCCTGAGGACATGAAGGTACAAGCTATCTTGCTTTACTTCCCCATTATGCATTTAAAATAAAAGAATAGAATTCCAGATGGCAGTTAGGAAATGCAAATCCTTGATGTGTAGTGTTTGACAAAGAACAGTGTTAGAACCATTGAATTTCCTTGTTTTTTCTCAAGCTTTGGCACTGGGTTTTGTTTTATTATATAAATGTTGAGCTTGTCTTCATTTCTCTTTCAAGCCCCCAGTTTCAGTCTTCCTAACTAAGGTTCACACGCTCAGAATTTTCAGGAACTTTTCAAAAGTCCAAAGAAAGCTCTCCTATTCATAAATTTGATGTAATTTTTTGTGAGGATGGAAAATTTCTGGTTTGAGTTCAAAATGCCAGAAGATGAACGCTCTGCTGAACACCATTCCCTCCACTGCATTTTCTTTCAATGATACTTCACTGCAAGCACTTCTTGCTTTAAGTGCATTGTGCACCCTTACGATGTCTGTTCATGTTGCCCATGGTTTAGGTTGTCACGCTGCATTCAGTAGTTGGTGAGATTCACTCCACCTTCACAAAGCAGTGTGGAAAGCGAAATCCCTTTCCTAGTCACGACTTGAGGAAATGCTTTACTTTAAGTCTGGAATAATAGCTGGAGCTTTTCATTCTCTTTGTACGGATTGTATAGACTACTGCTATTACATATATTTTGTTGTCTTTGCTGCTGTATCTCAGATTTTCTTATTTAGACTGAAAAGGATGGCTAGCTGAGGAGAGCTGTTCCATTCTCTCTCTTGTAGCCCTTTGCACTACAGTTATGTTTAGCCTGAAGGCTTAAAGTCACTGCATAAACATGTTTTGCAAAAATAACCTGCAAGCTGCATGTGTATCACAGGGTCTAGGCCAAACACGTGATTCCAGTCGAGTCAGATACTTTATCTCATTCACCTTACATGCTGTAATTTAATTTAGTGATAAACAGTTATTTTTCAATGTGTGGTATTTCCGAGGAAAGATGGGCTGGTTTGGAGTATCTTAGAAGTCTTTTGTAGTCTGCAGAAGATGGCCCAAGGGGAAATTTGCTGTAATTATTTTACTTTCTAATTTGGTTGATAACAAGTTTAGCAATTATCCTTATTTCCACTGAGTAGGATGTATTCCACCCTGCATACCATGAGCCTTAGGTGCAGGCTACACCCAGTGAGCAGCACAGGCAGCATGGATGACACAAGGAAAGGTCGGTGCCATTCTAGCAAAGAGGACCTACAAGTATTTTTAGAATGTGGAAAGCAACTGTTTGACATGCATGTGACCTTGTTTACTGATTTCCATTAGTACTGAAGTATTGCCATGTGCATAGATTACCAGTGTGCTGGAAGCAATAAAAGCTAGCAATAAAATGGGATTTGGGTCACCTTCACGTAGTAATATGTAGAAATTTTCCTTCCCAGCTGTATGTATTTCTCTAGTTCAACCGTTATGAATATACCAGCCTGTCTTGCGTGCAGATTTTGTAACAGAGTTACTTTCTTTTCTGTAGGATAAGAAAAATGCTTGAAAGCAACCTTAATAAATACACATGGGTATTTGTATAGTCCTTATCTGAGGGTTAGTAACAGGAACCTCACATTGTGTAATGCCTTCAAAGACTTAAAACTGGGTATTTCTCCCATTTGGCTAAAAATGGATCAATTTGATGGCTAGCTATGGGTAAAAGTAATGTTTATTAATGCTTTATTAATTGAAATCATCAGTGCAGTAAGCATTGTGGAATAAGAAAAAAATACATTCATTAGGTGTATCAAGTACATCTGTCCTAGGCTTCCCTGCAGCTATAACTTATTTCTGCATTGTCAAAGTAGGTAGGTTTAAGCAGACTTTTTCTATAGAGTTTGCAGGATTCCAAGTAGAGATGAGATCACTGAGGTGCTGGGTGAATACTAGTTTCTCCTGGGCCTTAAGAAATGATTGAAATATTATTGCTTTGTGCTACTGCAGAGTAGATAAATATGCCTTGTCTTCTGTTCTGTATTCTTCTCCTTCCTATGTCACTAGCACCTGGAATCTCCTGGGTTTTTGGGGAAAAAAAAAAAAAGCAATATTAAATTACAAAAGATTTTTGCTCTTTTCCCCTGTGGCAAAACCATTTGACCTTTTCTTGACTAACATTGTTCCTCTGAAGCAGGCAAATAAGACACTATTTATATCATGATGGCAATGTCATGTTAAATAAGGGTTAGATTGAGTCAGCCCCATCTGCTGCAGAGCAGAAAACCCAGAGATTCTGTTCTAAAAGGTGATGAACTCCATTCCTCTCAAATGTGGCGCTCTGGCTATGTCCTGGTTGTGGCCAGAAATGGTATAAACCCAGTGTATTTACAGCAGTGTATTTCCAGCCTTGGACTTCTGAGGTAGAAGTTATTATTAACTGATTAGTCAATGCCCAATGGTGTTAATGTTTATCCCCACTCATGTTTGAACAAGGATCTCTAAAGATTTAAGCACTGCTTGGTTACGAAAAATGTTTTCAAGAACATTTTGATTTATTTAACATGGGGGGAAAAAAATACTAATTATGGGCAAAAATTCTTCCTTTCAGGAGGAATATAACAAACTCTAATATGAAAATGCTGCAGGGGTAGGCTGTTAATGGGCAGGCTGCATTGTATGTAGAATTCCTAATTGCCATAATCAGATCTCAAAATTTTTGTAGCTGAATTTAATTTTGCCAGTGAACATTAGTCACATACTGTTGCACAGACTTAAATTAATAATGCTAGAAGATTTGTTTAGACAATGTCATACATTTTTTCACTTTAATCTTTCAGTAGTACTGTAACATACAGCAAAACTAATTGTGCAGTGTTTCCTGCCCTTTGACAGAACAAACCCTTTGCTTATTCCTATTTTAAAAGCCTTTTAACTGCTCTGAGCAGGTCAGTATTCTAACATAGCATGTGGCTAAGGTGGGATCACTTCTTTTTATTCTGCCCCTGCTTGAAAGGCCTTCAGTCTTGCCAAACCTATTGTAGCACGTATTTGTGGATCATCCAGTCATGAATGTTGTGTATTATATCACTAATCATTTTATTGAAAGCCTGTTTTATTAGCAAATTAGCAGCTTCCAGCCATTCATGACTTATGGTAGCTATGACAGTACTGAAATGTTTTCAGTTTTATTTCATGAGTTATTTCATGAGTGTGGCTTCACTCATGAAAAATGAGTGGCAGTAGTGCCCCTGTCAATCTTGAATTTTGCCATCATGATGCAACTGCTGTTGTTTTAATACCTGTAGTGTTGAGCTTAGGTTTTGCTGTAAGTCTAAGTCATAATTTTTCGTATATCAGTGAATCTATGCTGATTAAGTATCCTAGGGGCTTGTTTTGGATGTGGAGTCAAATAGGACCTGAGCTTTTAACAGACACTAGAGCAAGAGTACTGCAGGACATCAAGTCTTTCTGTAGGCTTTACACAAGGAGTTGAAGCCACTTGCTCCAAGGCTTTTTTGATTCCAGCACCTGTGTACCTGCTGACCATTCCTGGCCTGTGTAAAGCAGCCTGTCAAGACCTTAATTGGTACAGACACTTTTACGTTGGCTTCAGCTGCTCTTGCTATCTGTGCTTCACTGGAAGAACACCAGGTGATAGCTGAGCTTTTGAAGGAAAGGACTCACTGCAGGACCTCAGTGGAAAACTGCAACCATCAACAGTCGTTTTCTGCACTGGCAATCTTCATCCTGCTGCTGCAGCTCTGGGAGGGAAGCTGACATTCAGAAACAAGGTTTATGTCTCTTTCCTAAGAAGTATCCTGCTTCCTTTGGGAAGACCTTGTTTTGCTTGCATATGCTAAATCTTTGGTGAATCAGACCTTTCCTATTCCTACAATTACCAACAAGCCAGTAGTTTGGGTCTTTCCTTCTCACTCCTTGGCTTAAAGAAGAGGGTGTACCATCACAGGTTCTCTCACTGAAGCAGAAAAACTTTGGAGCAGAACTTTTTTCCTTACAAAAATAAAATTAATGTATATCCTTGAGAGTGTCAAGGTGTGCAGAAGTAGAAGGAGTGCACATGGCAAATTTCTCAGCTTTCTGCGGAAGGACAGCAGAAGTTGGTTGTTGTCATGGCCTCTGCTCACAGGTTCACCACACTTCAGTCTGCTGTGAGTGAATCTGTGTTTCAGGTCTTGTGTTTCTGTGCTGTGAGTGCTATTCTCTGCACTAGCTTATCTTTTTAGCTCCCTTTGAGAAGTGTCTCATCGGCCGCTGATGGGAATTTCTTTGGACAGGAAAAATTGGTGTGACTTCCCCCAGTTCCAAAACAGACTTTTTATCACTTTTCAGTGCACAGTGTCATCTGTTTCTCTACTGCTGGGGGAGACTGTCCTGCAAACAGTAGAACTGCTGCTTCTGAAATATTTGCAGGGCAAAAGAAGGAAGGATGAGCAGGAGGTGTTAATTGCCTCTGAGTGAGGGGAAGAATGCAGGTGCTGATCAGCTGCAACTTTTGTCAGGGCTGCATAGTCAGAGCCCTCATGTACAAGCAGCAGTTCTTGTCTCCACCTCACCATCTGCTAGACAGAGATGGGCAGAGAAGGGACTTTGCGGAGTTACAGGAAGGGCTGGGTTTGATCCCACGGCTACAGATCTCTTTCCAGTAACCAGTTGTCTAGCCTGTTGCTTCCAAAGTGCTTGGTCCGCAGCTTGCTGTCGATACCTGACTTCTCTGTGGACTGTGCTCCTTAAAATTCACTAATTTTGAAATGAGGTATCTTTGTTTCAAAAGCGTCTGT